ACTAAAATAGGGTAATTTAATCATAAATCTTGTCCAAAGGAGCTTAAAGAAAAGTAAATGGAGAAAAAGACTGCTTAGGCAACATCAGTTTATCTGTGTGAGGTAACTTAAACTTTTCCAAGGTGCCAAGTCACTACTCGAGGCATAAATGATAATTTAGCCCAATTTTACTAACGTATTATCTATATGAATAATGTAAGCATTTTGTATGCTTGCAAAAGGCATTCCAAGGTATCAGAAGCACATTTTTTTTAAATGAACATTTGGTAAATATTCTCAAAATTTGTAGATATAAAATCCTAAAACGATAAATACCTTAAAAAGAAAACAGCAAAAAAAGAAAGAAAAATCACAGTATGAAAAAATGAATTATTTTCATATATCATTTTACTCCCATCTCATACTTTACAGCCTGCCTTACCAAAGAAAAAGTCTCAGACTCCATTAAATTATAAACATGTTAAAACAGCAAAAGTATCTCTATTAATAAGGTTATACCTGATATTTCCAAACAACATGTATGTTTTGTCAAAAACTTAGATTCTAAACCTTTTAATCATTAAATGTCAATGATATTGTCTGGTAATCAGCATATAACTAATTAGCAAAGATACTCTAAAATTCCATTATTTTCCCAGAAATCCTTTCATATATGAGAGATTTGCAACTATTTCTCTAGTGGAATCTAGGAAAATCCTTAGAAACAGATTCAATATAAAGGGTAACTACTGTACTAATATTTAAATTCCATATCATAAAAAAGATACGCACTACCATATTGAAGTATTATGTATTTGATATAAGCTATGTTTATTTTTTTCTTGACTTTAATATTAATTAGCAGACTATAAGATTCTCCCACAGTTGTATTTACCAAAAAGCCAATTTTCCTTATATTTATTCTTATTCAGTGTTCACTCAATAAATATTTACCGAGTGCCTGTCATGTACCAGTGGTATAAGTGCTGCACAGCAGTGAACCAGTCATGTTCTGCCTAAAAAATACTTAATGCTACTGCTTTCCCAGAACACAGATTTATACTACCACCTTTGTGAAGTGTTAGAGCAGACAGATAGCTAGACATGAGCAGGAAAGAGAGCGCCTGAGAAAAGGAGGACTAGAAAATCTCACATCCCAGAGACCACCCAAAACCTGCATACTGGGTATGAGTAGACAGGAGCGGAAATACCTATGCAGAAGCGAACACCCTGAAATACCCCTTAAGATGCCCAGTAATTGCTCACTCTATAGTTAACCTGTCAGAATGTAGCTAGCTACATGCTGATAAGGAGGGAAAGAGGGCAAAGGGGAAATTCTTAAGAGATACACAAGCACAGCAAGTACAGATTTAACCGCTATACGACCTTCCTGGGGTGGCAGTAAGGAGCAACAATGCCATTAAGTAGACTTCATATCCAACACTGGGCACACACATGTGCATCATCAACTCAGAGTAAGAGAAGCCCACAAAACTGTGGCAGGAACTAATCAGGGACAAGGTAGAGACTTAAAGCAGAAGTGGGAAACTAGCCAAAGACAAAGGCCGAGACTTGAGACAGACAGGAACTTAAAGAAAGAGTTCAACACAATGAAAACTGCAGTGTTGAACTCTCAGGGCTGTTGGCTCATCTTCTTTCAAGCAGCTCACTCTGCCTCCTCTTTCAGAGCGTACTGTCTCTGCTACTACTTAACCCTTGCTGCTCCTACTGCTGTTTTTCCAGCCTGCTCCTCTCTTGGCATGTACTTTCTTCAATAAATTCTCTGTTCTTTTTGCTAAAATTGTCTCTTGGACAAATTCTTTCTCCCAAGAACAACAAGAACCAGAGACTTTGCTCTTCCTAGTAACAAAAGTGTAATGGTTTTATAAATATACTTATTCTGGTAATATTTTGAATAATTTATGCTTCTGATCTCTAATGAAAAATTTATAAGTGAATGAATATTTTTAAGATAAAATATTTGCCTGATGTGGAGTTTGTGTTTTGGTATAGCAATAACAACACATCAAAAAAAGTACAAATTACTTTAAACTTTGAAGATTTACCTGTTATAGGAATATTCTGTGAGACTGATAGCTGCACATCTCCAGTTCCTGGTGGCATGTCAACAACTAAGTAGTCCAGTTGACCCCAATCTACCTAAAAAGATGACATAGATTATATCATTGTATAAAAATTCAATGTTGAATAGTGATGTAAACAAAATTAATGTGTTAATAATAAATCTAAAATCATAGCTATCACTTGAGCCATTGCTAGGTACAAGGCACTGTGCTAAGTCTGAAGGATACATGGATGAATAAATGACAGGCCCTTCCACTAGGAGGCCTTCTCTGAATGGCAAGTTTAAATTTCCAGATGACTCATCCCCATACATACACGCTAATGTTGAACTCATTTCCCAGTAGGCTTCTATTTAGGACCATTCACTTATTTTTACCGGGTGTAGCCCACATTTTGCCTAAAGAAGGTATTAGCTTTTT